AATAACGGCATCATTCAAAAAGTGAACCTATGTGAAAGCTTGTTGTGGCTTCTTCATGCCTGTGGTTAATCAGATTACATACTTGAAATACTAAGTAAACATCCCATTCTATAGTGTTCTGCTTATATCTTCATTTTCATTTGTCACGTGCCAGACTAGTTGTCTTTTGGCCATTCATCAGTCCAACTCATGTATAGGAATCCACTATCATTGCCAAAATGAAGCCTCTAATCTGCATGCGGGCGTATCTAAATGCATGTCGGTTAAATTTTCTGCTTATATCAAGATAAGGAGCTAGCCATTTCAAACGGTTTAAGCACACATTTAGTCTACTTGCTGCCAAGCCGAGTAATTGCTTTTCACCTTTTGCATTCTGAGAGCCCTATGCCAGAGGCAAGCCATTGAAAAAATATGGGTTGGTGAATGGATGCACTTGTCCCGTGATTGAAACATGACCAGACCGTGGTAATGTAGATAATTAGCTAATTCCAGGTGCTTACACAGTGTATGTCACAGTATTATGTATACACAAAAACGTTGATTTAACCAGTCACCTAATCAACTTACTGGCAATATTTGTTAGTGGTATATCCGTGCTTTCTTAATTTAGTTTATGATGGAAGTTATGACAGTAAACTGAGCGAGTTGTTTGGCCCCTGCTTGAACTAACCCATGTAGCACGCCAGCGATTTTGCGAGTACTATCACGGATACATTGAATACTACGAGCCAGGACGAGGGACTGGTGATATCAGTGGCCAGCAGAGAAATCTAATACGGATTACTAGTACTCATACCACCACTCAAGCTAAACGAAATGCTCTGGGCGTTGGCACGATGGTAATATCTGACGCCAATACTCGTAATAATGTGGGAGCAGGTAATGCTAGGAGCTAGAGGATTACGGGCAGCCTTGGTTTCGAGAATGTAGTGCTGCGGTGACTTGCAGGCCGCGGGCCACAGACATGTAGAATTTCAGGGTTCGTGGGCTGCAAAACAGGCCGAACCCAAATCCCGCTTAATGTTCTGGATGTCGGGCCCAATACTAATTTCAATTCTCAGGGGTGACTTCCTACAACGGGAAAGGATTAAGCCGATGTAGGGAAATTAGCTTGTCAATGGTTCTAGAAGACAGCAGGCTTCTCATCCAAATCATGTCAGATTGTGCCATGAGTCAGTTAATCAACAGCTAGATTCGTTCAAGGGGACCTGGAACCTGCACCGAGGGCTTCCGGACTAGGGCTTAGGGCTTAGGGTTCAGGGTTTAGGGTCTAGGGTCTTTAGGGCTTAGGGCTTACGATGGAAATTGAGATTTGTCTGTCTGTGTGCCAATTAGAAACACTCCTTTTCCTTTTCGATGTTTTCCCCGGAGTTTGTTTGGATATCTGTTCCTGTTTGGCTGGCTCATACAAAAAAAAATTGAGGAAATACGTTTTGCGGAACTTCCAACGAAGCAATCAGTTCTTATAATATGGCAGTGAGGAAGGGGAAAATTGAATATAGTGGCTCTTGGTCTGAAATATTGGCCAGCACGGAAAACAATGTTTAATTTTTGGGTGGCTCAAAATATGATATAGGTGAAGAATTGGAGAAGTTGGGAAGGTGGGATCCCACCTGCTATGAGCAGAATTATATCAAACAAATACATGTATGATGCGGTGTTAATACTTCGCTAGATTATCTTAGATATATTGTGTTATGCGTAATTCCTAATAGTAATTGTGCTAGTACTGTATCAAATTGTTTAAAAAAGAATATTTACATTTTTTGCTCCAGGGCAGACAACAAAACAATACTTCACTAGATTATCTTGCTTATATTGTGTTTTGCGTAATTCCCTAACATTATTTGCAGTAATGCTGCATCAAATTGTTCAAACATTTGTATAAGAATAGTTGTAAATCTAGTTATTAAGCAGATAACAGCAATGCTTCACTAGATTATCTTGTCTACACCGTACTTTGCACACGCGTGGATAGCACATGTAGGAATGCTGGAGTGAATTATCAGGACCTTTTACTACTTCTTGCGGGTCTTGGGGGGGGGGGGGTAGCATATATATATATATATATATATATATATACACACACACATGTAATATACAGATACATACGTACATGACGGCATATGATAGCACAGCCAATTCAGCAATTTCCCGACCCGAGCGCAGAAGACGCCTTCACTAGTGCGAACTCGTCGGGACTTTCGGCTTCGTAGTTCCTCGGACTAGGGAGCATCGTGGGGCAAGGCTGTGTGAGAGGTCAGAGGAACGGGGGTTACTCGGAACCGCTAGATATCTCCTCAAGAGGACCCAACCATCCCCGTTCTGCGCCTTCCAAACCAAAGGCCGGTGACCATGAGCTAGTCCAGAACATCAAGACCGAGCAGAATAGCACAGAAGCACCATGCTCAAAGACTGGGCATAAGGAGGACATATAGAGAAACCGATGACAATGCAAGGCGCGACGACGGCCCGAAAACAGACCACAACTCGACCACCTCTGAAGCACCCCTCGTCATGCCTGCGAACCTCGCCTGCGAAAATGCCACGCCCGGACTCTCGAACCCCGAAGCCAAAAAGCCGCTGTATCTACAGAGGCCAAGCTGCAGCCCACCGTCCTCCAAGGGAACAAGCGTCAGTACAGTGCAAGTGGTGCAGACCATCTAGGAACTCTTGGATTCAACGCTCCGCCGCCTAGCCCCGACTCGCCTCTTAACCTGCTCAGCATCATTTTTCTCCAAGCCCCTCATCATCCACGTACTTGGCCAGGAACACTCATCAAGGTCCTCCCCGCTGGTGACCATCACAGTGTGCGAGACCTGGGTCCAGCCGGGCCCAGAAAAATGCAACACACCAACAGCCGCTGCAGGGCACCGAGTTCGCTCAATCGCGCGGCGACTACCATGACCACCACCACCACCACCACCACCACCACCACCACCACCACCACCACCACCACCACCACCACCACCACCACCACCACCACCACCACTGACCACTGCATCCCCATGCAAGATTACTGCCATAACATGGTACAGCATGTATGGTTAGAAAACACACCTTTATGATATGAGCACGGTATAGGCCACCTAGGATGAATTCCAAACCGCTTATGGTGCAGAGACAGTGTACTTGAACTTGAAGCTCTGTGGTGACACACCATCCCCTCATGCTCAGGAGGCAGCTGCGAGCACTTCCAAGAATGCGTCGATCTCTCGCGCCTTCATAGACAGGCCTCTCGCCGCCTTTCACAAGCGCATGAACCCAAACAACTGATGACAGCAACAATCACCAGCAGGATGCAGCAATTGTTGCGCCGAAGGTACTTGCAGAAACAGTCTCCGACTTGCCTTCACTGTAGATACTTTAGTGGTTGTCCACATCGCTCTGCTTTCAACTGTGCGACATTTTGCGCGCAACATCCCGAAACTCTCCGAATACTTCTAGAATCGTCTGAAACAACAGAAATCATCAAAAAAGCAACTGTTAAATTCTAAGCACTCCAGGCATGTAAGCCCGCCGGAGTGTATTCTAGCAGTCGGTCAGCTAAAGCCTCAATACACCTTTTCCTGAGGTTCTGTAGGCCAGGGAAGCGGCAAGGGTAGAGCGAACATCGCCCTTCTCCCCCCGACTGCCTGAAGCTCGCGGCCGCCGTCGAAGCCGTCCTGAGACGCAGAACGGGTGCTCTGTGTGGAATTCCGTGGATTTCTGTTGCAGCAGGAACTGGCGGCGGTACAGCCGTCGCAAGCACGATTTGATACAGTCGGGCAGAAGCCTGCACCTGTAACCAGAAGCCAAATCATGGATGCCGAGCTGTGTGGGTCCATTTTGTTGCACGCTGTAACCGATGCTACTATTTACTAGCTACTTGTACCAGTTGCAGTCGTGACCTCCCGAGTCAACAGCAGATGCGGCTCTTTGGCCTTGATCGAGGTCGAAAGAAACAAGACTTCATAGGAATGGTATGTTTAAGAATCCGTATGAAACTTACGCCAGAACCAAGGCACCCATCCCGCATCATCCGACTTTCCGGCCTGAGGGGATCGAGATCACTTTCCCTGCATCCTATGCCGATTGAAAGCTCCACATCCGACGAACACACCGCCTCCAGTCTCAGCATCTTAATCCTGTTCGTCATTGTCCTTGCCGCCATCACAAACATCGCCAACCGCATCTCATCATCCTCCTCATTCTCCTCGTCGTCATCGTAGCCATCGTGATTACCATCGTCCCCATCGCAGCCACCGGCATCGTCCTGACTTGGAGCATCATCGTCATCGTCATCGTCATCGTCAGCAGCAGCAGCAGCAGCAGCAGCATCCTCTCCTTCCCACTACCAAACTGACATGATCGCTGTTCGCGAGACCGCAGCACCAGTCGAGATAGAACTATGCCGACGACACCCGGCTGCGCCGTTATCTGACTTGCAGATTTCCTCGATGCATGACTCGAACAGGCATTTCGAAAGCAAGCATACTACCGCGCAAACCCATACCTACAAAACCAAGAATCCAGGAGCATTTTTCCACTGCGCCTGCGGGCTACTCTGGAATGTCCCAAACTTCTGCCCGCCGATGGAGACACGCCTCGTGCGGGCATACACCGAGCTTAATTCACGTCTTCGAGTGTGCGAGATTCAATTTCTGTTAAAGTCGCTGTAGCCGAAGCCACATATGCACGATGCAGACTGCGTCGGCAAATCCAAGGCAGGCCTCAAAGCCATGTCGTTTTGTGTCAATGTTCCTGGGCGGGGCAGGTCATCTGGAACTGTAGGTTCCACAGGCGCTCATGGACACTTAGAGACCTACGACCTCAAGCCCGGCTCTCCTGCCCTCGAACCCCACGGTCAGCCTGTCTTGTCCGAGAAGATGTATCCGACCTCCCAAGCCAACACGGACCAAAGGGGGCCAGGAGGTGAGACCCCTTGAGGTAAGCTGGGAGTTGTGCAGGGTGCACAATGTTCACAAACACAGACACACACACACACAACAGAGACACAAACACACGCGCGCGCGCACGCACAGAGAGAGACACAGACCAAATTAGCCTGCCTACTTATGTTCCAGCCGGCCTGCCTGCCCCTGCCTATTTATCTATCTCTCTCTCTCTCACACCTGCGTGCGTGAATCCGGGCCTGCCCCAGCTCTTGGCACAGATTCGAACTCCGAGTAACAGCTGCGAAGGGCTTGCCCTCATTGAAGCCCGGTGCTTTGTAGCACCTTCACAGTACTCAAGTTGATCTATGACCTCCTGGAGTCACTAGCCATCTGCAAGGCTGAATCGAGGGTCTCTGTTACAATTTGGATTGCAGGCTTCGGGTTAGAGGGTCATGCTCCCCATGCCCTGGCGAGATATATGGAATTCCACCTGCACACTCTCTACTCTGCGCCTTGTGATTCCATCGCAACGTCAACATGATACACACACACACACACATGCCATGTCCGCGAACACATTCCATAGTTTCTGGCTGGGCAAAGAGCAGCACACGACAGTTGCGATGATCTGCCGGCAAGAGTCATCCGCTTATCCTGCTGGATCGCTCGACACCTGCAAATCCACGAAACTCAGTGCAAAGCTCTTGGGGACTCAGGCCGCTCTGAAACTCGCGCTGCCAACTGACTGGTACAGGTTCATGTGCTGTGTTCTCTTGCATGATGCCTGTACTATGTCTACATATGTGCATATGCCAACTAGATGTGTAGGCGTGTATGTATGTATGCATGCATGCATGCATGCATGTGTGCATGTGCGTGAGAGAGCTTTCATGCAGATATGCAAATGTGAACATCGCATCTAGATTTATACACATGTACATTCTATGTCTCAAACCTGATATATACAGTCGATGTCCGCAAGCATAACGTCTACATGCATGCGCATCATAAATAATATGCTGTTTGGCATAACCACGACTACAAGAACGGCAAAGGGTCAGCAGTTGCTGTTCTAGAAAGTATGTTGCTTCTAGGTCAATGGATCCGTTTCTCAAACATGTGCTTTTCGCAATGGCATCGCTTTTGTAATCTATATGATCGTGATTTTGCTTGCATGTGTATGTGTGCGGGTGTTTTTGTGTGTAAACATAATGCATGGCTGTGTGTTTGATACATGCGGAGTATATGCATACATACATGTGTCCGTGTAAGCACCTGTGCACAGGGAAGCATGCGTGCAATAGCGCCCTATCGATGTCCGTCACCACAGGCTATCTATAGTCTTATCATTAGAAGCATTCGACGTCGGAGCAGTGGCCGTCTTCGTCGCAGTCGCCATTGCGATATCAGCGGGCAGCGGCCGCAGCGGCCGTCGTCGTCGCCGTCGTCGTAGTATTGGGCTTGTTGTTGTTCTGGTATAGGCGTTCTCGTCCGTTGTTTCCTGTTGCTGCTGCTCTTGCTCCTGACCTTCTGAAGGTTGTTGCTATATATATATATATATATATATATATACTGCGTACCAGTGGTGGTTCCTATGTACTGTTCTGCCGGACCACATCTAATTTCACATCGCGGCGTCGCGCACCTTTTGCAGTCAGTCGTCCAGGAATCGAAAATTCGTGCCCGAGCCCCTGACTGCCGAGTCCCGTCTCGCGCCAGGTGCACTACAGATTCAAGCCGAAGGACTGAAAGACATTGCAGAACTCCACCGTCGGATAGAGGGAGATTGGCATCAAGTTGGAGTACAGCCTCAAATGCGGAGGAGACAGAGAGGGAGAGAGGGAGAGAGAGAGAGAGAGAGAGCGACAATTCAGGGGCCCGTCCCAATGACTCTCGGTGGGCGGGAGGTAAACGGATCCAAAGTTCCAAGGGTCCAAGTGGGTAGAAGCTTGTAGGAAATTTGCGGCTGCCTCAAAATTCCGAAAGTATCGCAGTATCTCCCCAAGGCTGCACGGCTTTCCGCTCACAGGCCCAAGGATCGAACATGGTAAAATCAGGGAGCGCCCCAAGACCCATTGCTCCGGGTCACGTGAAGAAGGTGAGCCACCAGGCCACTACTTCAGGCCTTAGCCATTCTGCCGCTTTGCAGCTCTACGGCGCCCCTTCAGGCAGGCCAGCGTACATGAACAATGCCTAGAGCACTTGCCTTTGTAGGGGCTAGCCAGTTCGCACAAGGCAAGGCATGAAGCTCTTAACATGAATCTGATCCAGCAAGGCTCAGGGTGGTGTGCTCCTCTTCCAGATACCAGTGGTGCTTCGGCTTGTATAGCACATGGCAGATAGAGCTGGTCGCCGCAATGATCGCCTGAATAAGCCTTGGATTTTGATGTTCCAACTCCGTTTGCTCGCCCTCTGCTTGGAGGCATGAGGAACCGGAAAACGCCGATTCATACACTGACACGGTGACTTCAAGCGGACAGTCAGAGAATGATTTTCTTCATTACCCAAGTTCCTTTCCTATCTTCAGGTGACCATATTCGAGAGTTTCTCTATGTTGGGTGAGCACTTGCGCTGATAACATGGCCAAGCTCTCACAAGACATCCAAGACAAGCGGGAGCGAGCGAGACGTGACAACAAAGGGTGTCCACTCTCGCAGCACTGACTGGTTGCAGGAGGTACGTCCGAGACGCAGAATGCACTTCATGGACTGGTTCGTCGTCACCTTATAGAGCAGAGCAAAGACTCTGCATGGTTTTAAGTGCAGCGGGGATGTGTACGAAGGGCAGCATGTTGCTAGGACTCAGGATGGACAGAGTTGGATGGGCTCGGCATCCATCGGGTGTCAACCCAACGGTCCCAAGCCGGGATGGTACTTAAAGCTCGTCAATTACCCGACCTCGCCCATGATCACCGAAAAGACAAAGTCAGTTTGACCGCAAGAGACGACCGCGGGCTGTGCGATTCTTGGTTTGAAAGATTGGCTTTTGTTTCAGGGAACCAGCTCATATCCTTGGGCTTCGGGTTGGAGTAAGCTTCTACTCGAGTCAAGTCTTATCGGACAGCAAGGGATTCTTATCCATTTCAAGAACATATCGAATCATCTATCGTTTCTGGGGAAGCAAAGTTTCGGGTTTGGGTCATTGCCAGCCGCTGCGAAATCCCTGTCCGTGAAACAGTCTTACCAGTAATTTCCAGCAACTCATGGTCATTCTACCACGGAGCTCCTGCTTCTAATTTGTATCGCCACCGTTTCGCCATGCACAAAATGTGATGCACCGTCGACGAGGTCCCAAGCTACAGTCTGCACGTGAAATGCCGCCACTTGAAGCACAAGTGAACATTGAGCAAGACTGTGTGGTGGTCCAATGCTGGCAACAACAACAAAACGGGCAACTGCAGTCTTTATGCGAACATTTTACAACCCTGAATCCTGAAAAGTCCTAGCCTCCAAGCTGTGGACTTTCGACAACTTCCGAAGGCTGACGTGGCCTCCAGGTTCGACTGCTTCATCGGAGGGGGTCGCGAATTGCGGACCATCCTGCTCCGACGCTGAAACTCCGGGACACAGGCAGCTCATGCTGTTTGCTGACAATGCAGGCGTGTGGTTGCAGTCAGGACAGAATTTCTTGGGGCTGGCACATGTGCGAACGGAATCAGCTCAATCGGAAAATTTGGGTCTGCATGCAGAAGGGGTCGTCCTCGTGTCCGCGCCGGTGTAGATGACCACACCTTGGGCGATCAAGACAGCTGCTCGGGGACTAAGATTGCACGAATCGCAAAATCCAGGCGCATCGTTTTTGGCATCATGATTCGCAAACATCGGGAAAGCAGGAACCAAGCCCCTTCTCTCATGTGACTCCGCTCTAGAATCTGAACCTCAAGTAACCCACAAAAAATTCAGGTGCTGAAGAGGAGGGAGGAATGAGTTCACCCTGAGTTTACGGCTGAGGCATGAGTTGACACATCAAGTGATGAACCAATCACACGATAGGACAGGTCACCCATGCAGAAGTTCGTGTTCCTGCACAGGTAAGATGGCAGAGGGAACATGTGGGATGCATGGGTTGTGCAGTCTTTGATGTCTTTTCCGGCTGTCTTCTGCACAGTACTGGCGGATGTATTTCGAAAAGGGAGGAATGTAGAAAGTCTATGGCTGCTGCTGACGTTTTCGCTGCTGATCCTCTCAAGGGGCACTTGGGTGGTGTTCCGTCCGGAGAGCCTCAGCACTGTTCCGCGCATCAGCAGCTGCTGCGGGCCAAGTGAAACCTGCGCCCGAACGACGGGAGAATCAAAGCCAATGGCTCAGCGCCGGAAGGACGGGAGAAACAAGCCCCAAGGGCTCAGGAATTAGCAAGGTGCAAACAATTCCGGTGCTTGCAATGCTACTCTTGCCGGTCAGGTTTGGAGGAATCGGGGACCGTGCAACATGCGATGCGAGATGCTGCTTTCCCCTGCACGGTCATGTTGCCGTTGAAGTCCTGAGGATCTACCGGACTTGAGGTGACAGCTTTGAAGCGTCTCATCATTTACCCGAGTGCGTGGTGAAAAAACCTGGTTCCACCTCTTTTATGGGCCAGATTGCTGGCTTCTGAATAGATCCGCGGTGGCATGTTGCTTCGTGGTAATGCTTGAGCAGGAATTCAACCACGACGCTGGCCTGCTATGCAGAGGCTTGTGGGCTGTTAAACATTGTGGGCACTGGAGGAAGTGGAGTTGGCACTTTCAGGGTCAACAGAAACAGTTGATCCAAGGCTCATGGATGTTTCCGTTCGGAGACTCCGCGCTAATGCTGACGCTGAGGTTCGCCACCTGTCCTTGTCAGAAGAAACACATCATGTGCAAATGCAAACAATATGCGATAAAAAAAACACACAGCTATCCACCTCCGTGAAATGAAACGACTACCAAGGTTTTGTGTAGGGGGCTGGACGTCTAGCTACTTCCAATTCTCAGCTTGCGAACCCTCATCCCTTTTGGGGTTGGGAGCTTGACGCCGACCCTTTTGATTGGGTGTCTATGCGCTTGGACATGGGTAAGAACATATGAAGAGATCGACCTACATATGTACATATGTATGTATACGCATGTATGTACGCATATAATAGAGGCATGAATATGTATATGTCTGTATGTGTATGAGTATGTCTATGTGTACATGTACATGTACATGTATATGTACATGTGTGTATACATATATGTATAGACCTGCTTAAATATGTACATACATATGCCAGCAATGTGTGTATATATATATATATACATACCCTGGGCTTCCAAAGACCCTAGGATCCAGGGTCTTGGGTCAAGGCCCCGGTGCACCCGTGATTAGCGTGAAAGGCCCTACTTTCCTAAGTCATATCAGCCACATGAATTCGCAATCGAAGTTCACGGCTCTTGGATCAGACCAAACTAGACAGATCGCTGATCAAGGTAGGGTGTTTTCATATCCCAACATCAACGCTAGCCATAGTCTCAACCACGAGGGCTATCGAAGCCTCTTTGCAACATGTCCTGACCAAGCAAAGCGTTCTCGCCATGTTTTCTCCCGATGCGTGGAGCGGCACTGAAGCGATCAAAACGTGCGCCGGGGTTGTGCTATGAGGAAACCTTTAATTCTTGAGTCTTAAGCCCCGATACGCGAAATTCCAGGTATCCCAAAGAAATGCCGATGCTGCGAGTCTACATCAGGCAGGGCTGGCAGGGGTCAGCAGCATCTGGTACTTGTTGCATTGGTTGCATCCGATCAAAAGCTTTTGCGATATCTGCTGCAACAGCAGCTGGGCTCAGCACGATCTTGGGTTCATGAGCATATGCCTTCTTTCGTTGTCGATAAGACATCACTGCTGCTACTTCGGTTGCTGCTACTTTGTCGAGGATTATCATTATGAGGGGTCCCGGGGATGTGTTGCTGCTACCATTTATTTAGCTGCCCGGCTTTTAATGTCTCCGCCCTCGAGCTAGGAGCAGCCATGCCGAACACGCCGCTCGACACGAAGCGCGTGGAGACCTTAAAGGCCAGGAATAAGCAGGTGCTTTAAAGTTGTATTCTTGCTTGGGTAAGCAGGCATTCTATGTGGAACACCTGGACTATCAGAATATGATGACGAAAAAACCTCGAGATGTCTTGCAATTGAATGCCACGCCTAGGTTCGTGATTCAAACAAGCACAGGTTCATGAAGCTTGCAGACGATCATGGGATCAGTGAAAAGAAGGTCGAAAAGAAGCTTCAGCAGAACAAGGCATGCACCTAGGCAAGTTGCAGTGAGAGTTATTCGGGATAAACAGATTCTGGGAGGCTCCCTGCGACTACTCCTTCCTTGATGTGCCCTCGAAGGGCATCACTTCTGATATCGTGGGAGGCTCATATGAAATCAATCGGGATTTCCTTTAAGTTGGAGTTGTCGCATGTTGCAAAATTTGAGGTCGAGGAGTCCCATGGGGCCGATAACTTTGCCTTTAGCCTTTACTTCTTGGCAACCTTCCTGGAATCCTACCCGACATATCGGGAGATGGTTGTGGACCTGCCACGTTTATTTCCTCCTCTCAATCAAAGCCCAACACTGCTCCCCCTCGTAAGGCTGCCCTCCTCTTCGCTGCCTCGCAGAAGCCCATGGTGAAGAACGGCAAGCACAAGTACCAGAGGGAGGCACGCACAAAGCTCGGGTTCGTGGGATCCTGCTTCGAAGTTTGATTTTCTCTGGGAGGCATGGGCAGGAAGAGGCCAAGGCTCAACGTGAGATGCTGAATTACATTCGATTGCGAAGTCGAAAGAATACAAAGACGAGGCCGATTAATTTCCGACTTTTCAATCACGTATGCATAAATGTGTCTCTTCGTCGATGCATGGAAGATATCATATCTGAAATATTTTTTTTCCTGTGAGGGGCAATCTGCCAAATCTGATGATTTTGAAGGGCGTTGTGCTGGAGCACACGGCCAAATTAAAGTCGTCAGCTACCTGCTGTATTTCCCAACAATCTTTCCAAAACCTGATTAATTAGAGGAGAAAAAGAAGACAGAAGAGGGAGAAAACTTCTGCAAGGGAACAGAGGCCACCGAGGAAGAGGAGAAGGAAGATGACCCAGAGCTCTCAGATCAGGCATCAACACGAGCGCTGGGAGACAACTCCCAGAGTGAGAGCTTTGATGATGAGGAGCAGGAGCAGAAGGATGACAACACAAAAAAGGAGGCGATCCAAGAAGGCTCGAAGTCAGAGAAAGAAGAGCAGGGTGCGGGAGGGATAGCCCACAATAGTGGAACCACAAGACGGCGAACCACAGGGCCGGGGTGGGGATTGATAATCAACACAGGGAACCACCGGGCCCCTTCCCTCCTTCCCTTCCCCTCTCTTCGAGCACAAATGAGAATGTTGTGCGCAATGATGTTGATGTGCTAGTCCCAGTGTGGCTATTGGTGGTACCTTTGCTCTTATGTTGCTCTGGGCTTCGGCACCCATGTTTATCGCTTTATCTAGTTGAAAACCGTGCTTGGCTCGTGATGTTCTTGCGAAAACCATAATATCGACCGTTGTCATTCCAGGCCAAGTTTCGGTTGGGTTCGCTACAAGTAAGCTTGAGCACGTTTTTGAATGGTTTTCATTCGGGACTTTTGAGCAAGGGACCTGATGAGAGTGCGGATGGGGATCATGAGCACCATCTTCGTCATTATCATCACCATCATATTCATCACTATCATTGGCTTTG